ACTCCAATCCGATAATAAAATCTCATTCAAAACCTCAAAAATCTAACTTGAGAACTGTAACGACCTGGCCGGTCGTTTTATGAATTTTAGCCCCGTTTCCCCTATTTCTGCTACTTTATGTCTTGTTCAGCTGTATTATGTGGTATCGGGTTGGTTGGTTCGGGTTTGGAGTGGTTTTGGAGAGGTATGAGACCCTTAGTCTCTTTTTGGGAAGCTTTAGTTGGAAAAGTCAACTGGAAGTTGACTTTGAGTAAATGATCTCGGAGCTTGGTTTTTATGGTTCGGGTAGCTTCATGAGGTAATTTGGAACTTATGAGCATGATCAGAGTATATTTTGGAGGTTCGTGGTATATTTAGGCTTGAATTAACGAAATTGGAGTTTTGGCGTTTTTCGGTTGGTAGTGAAAATTTTGATGTTGGCGTCGGAATAGAATTCCGTAAATGGGAGTAGGTCGGTTGTGTCAATTGCGACGTGTGTGCAAAATTTCAGGTCATTCGGATGAGATTTGATATGTTTTTGGACCAATTGTGGAATTTGAGAGTTTTTAAGTTCTTAGGCTTGAATCCGAGGTTGATTTGGTGTTTCGATGTTGATTTGAGTATTCCGAAGGTTGGAATAAGTTTGATTAGTGGTATATGACTTGTTGGTATCTTTGGTGGAGGCCCCGAGAGCCTCGGGATGAATTTGGATAGCTAACGGGAGGATTTGGAATTTGGTTGAGCAGCTGAACTGTGTTGCATCTGTCATTTCCGCACCTGCGTATTGGGGACTGTAGGTGCGAGCCTCGCAGAAGCGATATTGGGCTGCATATGCGGAAAGTTGAGGAGCCGAAGAGAACAGCAAGTGCGCATAAGGACCGCACCTGCGAGACCGAAGAAGCGGAAAGTTGACCGCAGAACCGGAAACTCCAAGGCTAAGTGAAAACCGTATCTATGATGGTTTTTCCGCAGGTGCAGCGTTGCAGAAGCAACTCTGAGATCGCAGATGCGGAAAACACTGGACAGAAGGTATAAAGAGGTCTTCTTTGCAAATTTTGCTAAGTTTCTCTATTTTCAGACGGGCTTGGAGCTTTTTAAGAGGATTTAAAGAGGGATTCAAGGGATAACGCTTGGAGGTAAGATTTGTGAACTCAATACTCAATTCTATGGTGATTTCTAACTAACTAGACATGAAATTTGTGGGATTTAAGGGTTAAAATTGAGGGATTAGGGCTTGAAATTGGAGATTTGAGGGACCATTTGAGGTCCGATTTTGATGTTCTTGGAATGTATAGACTCGTGGGAGGATGAGGATTCTTGTGATATAATTTTTATCGAATTTTGAGGCATGGGACCGGGGTCGAGTTTGACCAATTTCGGGAGTTTTGAGTTAATTTGATAATTTTCGAATGGATTTTTTTCCTTTAGCGTATGTTGATGATATATACTAATTTTGGTTAGATTCGGGGCATTTGGAGGCCGAATCAAGAGGCAAGGGCGTCGCGGGCTAGAGTTTGGCTTGGCTTAAGGTAAGTAACGCTTCCAAACTTGGTTCTGAGGGTTCAAAACCCCGAACTATATGTTCCATGATTACTATTGAGGTGACGCAAATGCCAAGTGACGGGCGTGTGGGCGTGCACCGTGAGAATCGCGGCCTAGATCATTCTATGGTACCGCTTAGTGACTTTTTCTTGCTAATACCTGTGTTGTGATTATGTTATTAAGTTAATGAGCTATAAATCATGCTAATTGTCATGTTAAGTCTTTACACCGATACTATTGAGACCCGAAAGGTCATTTCTTGCTATCATATCATTAGCTTCATTGATATTCTGTACTCAGTCCTATTCATGCATTTTATACTATGCCTCAGTCTCGATTCTTGTTATTTGGCACATCATTTAATTGTTTGGACTAGTATCATGACATTGTGAGCCCGTGTGTGTGAGACTGGAGAGTGATGACCGAGTGTGTCCGAGAACTGATAGTGAGTGAGAGTTATGGGATCAGGCTGCACGCCGCAACGGTTATGTTAATGATTTTGATAGCGCTTGGGCTGTAGGATCCCCTCCGGAGTCTGTAACACACCCCCAGTGAGCGCATTTGATGATATTGAGGGATGGATCTTCCCTAGACATGGATTTTGTTCGGAGTATTTATACTAGATCGAAGATGGATCTTCTCCATAGGGTTGGAATGGCCTTCCTCGGTACTGGATGACTGCGGTCAGTGATGTGTATATATTCCGGGATGGATCTTCACTGGGCATGATGGCCATATACAGTACCGAATGGTTGAGCACTTGTGAGAGGAGGTAGACGGAACATTGATTATGCTATCTGTACATTGGTACATAGAGATTTCCTAAGCTTTATACTACGTACTGTTTAGACTGTATTTACTTACTGCTGAGTTTTTACTTGAACTGCAAGCATGTCTACTTTTCTGTACAGTTTAATTGTATTACCTGTTGCGGTTTGGTTTGTCACTACTTGTCAGTCTAAGTTTGGACTTGTTACTTACTAAATTGGTGTACTCACGTTACCCCTTGCACTTTGTGTGCAGATCCAGGTATCTTGGGCCACGATAGCGGTTGTTGATCATTTCAGTCGTGGGCTTTCATTTGGAGATAGCGATGTAGCTGCCTGGCGATCAAAAAGTCCCGCCTTTCTCCTTCCTTATCTTCCTCTTAGTGTATTTGTTGTCTATTCTCATACTATGCTAGTCTTGTTTTATTTCGAACAGTTGTAGTATTTTGCTCATGACTTAGTGACACCCGAGGTCGAGCTTGTATTTTCCGCTTTGTTTTGATTTTTACTTTATATCTTTTATTGGATTGCAGTTGAAAACATGGTTTGCTTAAGTTTTAAATGAAATATGGGTTATTTGGAAATGAGTTGGCTGGCCTAGTTTTACGATAGGCGCCATCACAATCAGGTCGGTTTTGGGGTCATGACAAGAACACTTCCTCTTCTTCTATAATTTTTTACCCCAAATCACAAATTAGATGATAAAGTTAAAGACGTAATCGTGGGATTTAACCAAAACCAAGTAAGAATCACTTACCCCAATCAACTCCACGAAAATCCCTTCAAGAATCGCCCAAATCTGTGGTCTCTAGCTCAAAATATGAAAAATGGGTTCAAACCCTTACTTTTGAAATTAATATTATTTGCGCAGATTTCCTTCTTCCCGAACGCGACCCACGTCTCGCGTTTGCATAGACCAGCATGACGACCTCCCAAACTAACTCTTTGCGAACACGACCAACGTTTCACGAACGCAAAGCTTTACTAGCTCAACTCATGGCGAACACGGCCAATACCTCGCAAACGTGTAGACCAAATACCTGGGGATCCCAGCTACCTCACTTCTCTTCACGAATGCGACACCACTCCCACGTTTGCGATATACACGCAGACCACGCATTCGTGTTCGCGTCCTCTTCTTTGCAAACGCGACAAACAAAATCTTCCTATCCCACATTAACCCTTTGCGAACACGAGGCTCCTCTAGCAAACGCATAAGAGTAAACCAGAAAGAACACATCAGCAGACATCAGCTATCACTCAAAGGCCAAAATTAATCCGTTAACCACCCGAAACTCACCCGAGGCCCCCGGGACCTCAACCAAACATATCATCAAGTCCCAAATCATCATAAGAACTTATTCGAACCTTCAAATCACCTCAAACAATATCAAAAATACGAATTACACACGGATTCATGCCGTAATGAACTTCAAAATTTCAAAATTTTACAAACGATGCCAAAACCTATCAAATCACTTCCGATTGACCTTAAATTTTGTACACAAATCATAAATGACACTATGAACCTGTTCCAACTTACGGAAATCCAATCCGACCTCGATATCAAAAAGTCCACTTCCGGTCAAACTTTTTAAAATTTCAACTTTCGATATTTCGAGACTAATTCTACTACGGACCTCCAAAACATAATCCAGATGCTCTCCTAAGTCCAAAATCACCTAACCAAGCTAACAGAACCATCAAAATCCAAATCCGAGGTCATTTGCATATAAGTCAATATCTGGTCAACTTTTCCAACTTAAGCTTTCAAATAAGAGACTAAGTGTCTCAATTCATTTTGAAATCACTTCGGACCCGAACGACCTAACCCGATAAGTTATAATACAATTGTAGTACAGAAAAGAAACAGAAAATGGGGGAATGGGGCTACAACTCTCGAAACCGATCGGATTACAGCAGCACTTAGATAATTTATCCGTTCTTGTATTATCCGTTTCGCCCCACTCATATCTTATCCGACCAGACCCGCCCATTTGCGATCCCTACCTGTGAGTCTGTGTCCACTAATATAGAGAACAAATTTTTTTTGTAAAACAGCCTAGTCATTCATGCAAGAAATATGATCAAATAATTATTATCTTTAAAATGATACAATGATTTCTCAATGCCTTGTTAGGATTGTTGTAATTGAAAGAAAAAATATTGTTCGCACCTAATATTATCAAACTAATAAACACATGGCATGCATCTATCATATGCACCTTTATCATTTACCATAATTAATTAATGTATGTGTATAGAAGTTAGAAATGGTAAGAAATTACCTTTACAAATATCTTTAAAAATAAATTTTTGATGATTTTAAGACTCTATAAAAGATATGAATAATTCAGAGTTTCAGACCTATTAACATGTCAATGATTTAGCTCTGTAAGAGCAAATAAGGTGATTTTAAAAGAAAAACAGCAAATGCACTTAATGAATAAGATTTCAATCGATTCGTATTCACACCTCCATTAGAAAACAAACATAGCCTTAATCTCTCAAGTGTATTTTATAAGTTCTTTTACAACTATAATAAAATGGTATACACCTAAGTGACCTAACAAAGGAAGTTTACTTTATATAACAACAAATGATCATGACTGATCCCACACTACATCTTACTTTAATTTTACTAATCTTGGATTATATTAGTGTGCACTTTTACTCTTCAAATCACTATATATAGCCCTAAATTAAGTTCTACAAATATATACCATATTCTCCTACATTCAGCACTAAGCCAAGAACTTCATTTGATAATTTAATTTACATATCCATTTCAATGGGTGAAGAAGTTTTTGAATCAACAATCAAAGTCACAATAAGTGATGATACTATGAAATTAGATGTAGCCAAGAAACCATCTTCTGCTTCTCTTTTGACTAAACTTCATGCAGGCTATTTCAGAATTAGCCTATCTTTAGGTGGTCAAGCCTTGTTATGGAAAGTTTTAATTGAACATTTAGATAAATCAAAAACTCTTCACCACTTATTTCATACTCTCCCTTCAACTACTTTCCTTCTACTATGGTGGATTTCCCTTTGTACTCTTATTATCCTCTCTTTTCTTTATATTTTAAGGTGCATTTTTCACTTCTCCTTAGTTAAATCTGAGTTTTTACATCCTGTTGGTGTAAACTATCTCTTTGCTCCTTGGATTTCTTGGCTTTTATTACTCCAATCAGCACCATTTAGTATTCCACATGTTGGTTCTTGCCAAGTTTTTTGGTGGATTTTCGTCATTCCGGTTGGGATTCTTGATGTGAAAATATATGGACAATGGTTTACTACTGAGAAAAGGTTTTTATCAATGGTTGCAAATCCAACTAGCCAACTTTCTGTATTAGGAAATTTGACTGGTGCTTGGATTGCAAGTAAAAAGGAATGGAAAGAGAGTGCAGTTTGTATATTTACATTAGGGTTAACACATTATTTGGTAGTGTTTATTACACTTTATCAAAGATTATCTGGTAGTAATAGCTTACCTGCTATGCTTAGACCTTCTTTCTTTTTGTTTGTGGCTGCACCAAGTATGGCTAGCTTAGCTTGGGCTTCTATTTCTGGGGATTTTGATATGTCATGCAGGATGCTCTTTTTTCTGTCACTATTTCTCTTCACTTCTTTGGTAAGTCTATCATCTTCTTCTTTATTATATTAGCTTCAAAAGATACTATATATGCATTATATTATAATTAGGGACCTATCTAGTAGTCTTGTTCCCGCATTATATATATAGTCTTATACATTGTACTTAATTAAAAACAAAATTGAGACAAAGAATCATAGTATTTTCTCTTTCACAATTTATGTGATACACTTTCCTTATTAGTCTGTTTAAATTACTCTTCTTTCAAAATTTAGTTGATCTTAATATGCTAATGGAATGAGGAAATCCTACATATACAAAGGCATCCATGGGTTACGTATTCGGGCGAACTCTATAACTTCTGAACCCTATATTTGTCTTTTCATTAGATATGTATTTAGAATCCGATAACACAAAAGGAATAAAATCGCGAACCTTTAAACTTCAAATCCTTATTCCGTTATTGCTTACATACAATACATATCTAATGACTTTTCTTTCTTGTGGATGTGATATAGGTTTGTAGGCCAGCAATATTCAAGAAATCAATGAAAAAGTTCAATGTTGCATGGTGGTCTTACTCATTTCCACTCACATTCCTAGCCTTAGCCTCTGTACAATATGCACATCAAGTGAAAAGTCCTGTTTCTGCTGGACTTATGCTTCTTCTCTCAGCCCTTTCAGTTCTTGTTTTTGTTGGTTTGACAGTTTCCACTGCTCTCAATCTTGACATGCTTTTGGCTGATAATGATCGCTATTTAAACTTCACTAAACGTAATTAGTCGTATCAAAAACAGCACCTTCTATCGAAAATGGAGAAAATATGCTAAGGAGATTTTGTTCGGTCAGAAATTAATACAGACACAATGGGCTAGCTTCAACAATTTCAAGAAATAATTATGATATTGCCTAGTGCTAATATTATTGTGATTCCTCAAACTATTGTCATATATTTCCTTTTTAAACTTCTATGTTGATTCAAACTTTGCCTCATAAAGAGAAATAGTTTAAAAGTTTTGTACTGTACATTATTAATGTAATTTGACCTATTATGACAAGTTACTGAATAGCATTTTTTCTAGGTTCTAAGAAATTGCTTATCAAAAAATTACAAGTAATTAATAATCTTATAATAAGTGACTCGATTGTATAACTTTTCTTACACAGACAATAAATAAAACATAAGCGATGAGAAATGAAATACTAAGACATAATTAAGTAAATAAATGTGCGTTTTTTCTATAATAACTTGAGCATTTACATCAGATAGTCACATACTTGAGCATGATATTGCAATACTCAGCGGTCGTGAGTTCAACTCTTATGATCACCAATAATTTAAAACAGAATTTTCACGTGTTTGACTCATGAAATAACATACTTCCATTAGTTAAGTGTCCAATAAGAAAGCAGACGCCATAGCTGAACTGGAAAAAATTGTCAACGAAGTCGGCAATGGTAACCAACAGAGACCTCATACAATTCCATGCACGAGTAAGCTTTAGAGTGAGAACTAAATTAAACATCTCCCACTTATAGCTTATCCACAAATGTTAACTTTCAATTCAGATTTGTTTAGGAAAAAAGTCGTATGATTCGTAAGTTCCGGTGTACAAAGGGTCGTACCCTTAAGGGTGTGATATAGACAGCTGATCTTAATGCAAATATTAGTGGTTACTTTTAAGACTCGAACTCGTAACCTATAAATCACACAGAGATAATTTTACTGTCGTTGCTCTAAATACTATAGCAACTTCACTGTTTCCTAGTAAAGTGCCAAGTATTATAGCAACTTCTCTAGTTCCTCCTCTTCTGCTTTTGAGCATGAAAGACACTAATCCACCTTGTACTCCACCATGGCAAGTGCACAAAATAATACTTTCTTCATATAGGTGTAAGATCCACTATGCAGAGACGTATTCAGGGTTTAAACTCGTGTTCAATATTTAAGGTTTTTAATAGTGAATTTATTATAAGTTTAAATTTAAGGGTTTATATCTATTATTTACTATAATTTTAGTGAATTCTTACTGTGAGTCGAAAGTGATTCAGATGAAACCGCGACCGTAATATTAGATCAGCCCCTGCCACCATTAATCCAAAATTACCTTCTTCTTTTTCACCTTTTCTAAAACCTTCGAAACAAACTTCTTCGCATCATAGATCGAGCAATCCGTTGCTTAGCTTTCCTTTTTGAAGCTTAACGTGATGCCATAATCAGTGTAGCTCTCTTTTGCAATAAGCTTAGGCATCGTTTGGTTCACATTTTATTATGCGGGGATTATATAATGCAAATATTGTTAATGTTATGTTATTATTATGTGGTGGTTAATAATGTACGAACAGTTGTGCAGCGATTAATAATGAAGGAATTATTGTGTATAGATTAGTTAGTTTACGAGTATTTGTAGGAAGTCAAAGTATTTTGAGAGAATTTTTTCTTCTGTATTGTATTTCGTGTATTGCTTTGTACAGGACTATTCTTTATATACAAGAAAGAATGTTAAAAAGAATCTTACATCTCACTCACTAACTCCGGTTGTCTATACATTATTGGCTAGTCTATAACTAATTTATATTCTTTATAAAATAAAAGGAAAAATATACCATTATCTATAACTTAGTATTCTGTTTCTAGAAGCTCGCAACATTACTGAATATTCCTTAGTAGGCCTTAATGTATAGAATCCTTTGGGCCTTATATGTATAACTTTTGGGTCCAACTTTGATTGTTCTTGGTTGCTGCAGTTGGCCTGCTCCGAAAGCCCAATAGAACCTTTGTCTTTATCAGATATAGATAATAACGAAGAAGCCCTAACCTTGTTTTTATCGAACACTTTCCCTTTGTTGTCTGATACCTTGTTCATCTCATCACCCCCTCAAGTTGGAAGGCTGAGAATCAACCCCCAACTTGCCAAATGAATCTGTTGATGGTGAATGACAATTAAGGATTTAGTAAAAATATCGGCAAGTTGAGAAGCAGAGGGAACGAAATTAAGAGAAATGAGGACAGCGAGGAACTGTTGACGGATAAAATGACAGTCAAGCTCCACATGCTTGGTTCGTTCATGGAAGATGGGATTTTTGGAAATATAGATGGCTGCTTGACTCTCTGTCACTCAGTGATGTATCTTCAATATGGACGCACGTGGTTGGTGGTGCAAAGAAAGGTAGAACTTGCGGTCTTCGATCACAATATTCTGTAGATTGTCCTATGACATTGTTGTCTGGTGATACGAGTTATTCGCAGGATTATAAAGAGGTGGAAGCATTATGAAAAAAAGTTGAAGAGTTGAAGGAGGAACGGAAAGAAGATCGTGCAAATTTTAACAAATTGTAGAGTCTAGTTGAGAAACTTATGAATATGCATCAAGTTAATTCTTTGAATGACGAGCGTGGCTGGGATGATGAGTTTTAGTTTGTTGTGGTTGTGATATTTGAGACATTATTATTTGTTATGATTGGATGTTTAGACTTGGTAAATGTTTAGACTTGACTATGATTGTAATATTAAGATTTGATTGAATGGTGCTTATGTTTAACCTGCGTTTGGATGTTTTAGTTATAAATGTTTATGTTTTCTTTGATTGGTTGCATTTTATGTGTTTGATTAGTTGAAATGGTAGATTGATTCTTTAGTTGCTGTAATTTTGAATTGACAGGTGGTATTGTTTTAAAATAGTCGAAATTTGTCAAAATATTTGCAATTTTCAGACTGAATTCCGACTAAGGTCGTCACAAAATACTATAATTTTTTCCAAAATTATAACATTTTGCGACCGCAGTAGTAGGAAAAGTAAATAAATAAATAATATTAAAATATTTTTGCGACCGCAGTAGTGAGAAATATAAATAAATAAATAATATTAAATTAAAATTGCAACTGCGTCAGTGGGAAAGCTTAAATAAAATAAAAAATACTTTTTGATATTTGCAATCAATATGATGGGAAAGATGATATAATAGTATAATTATTTTAAAGTTTTGCGACCGAAGTAGTGGGAAATGTAATATAAAATTAAAATTTAATTTAAATACTTTGTGACCGCGTCAGTCGGAAGTTGACAACTTTTGTTAGTCGTTTTCTCTTTCCTCTTTCAGACCGATGTAGTCGCAAATTAGGGACAGATTCGGTCGCAAAGTGTTTCAGACCAGCTATTTGCGACCGCATTATTTCGGTCAGAATGTGGTCGGAAATCAGCATTTTTTGACCGCATTTCAACCGTATTGGCAATCAGAAAATAGCTATTTTCTAGTTGTGGGAATTGATGGAGACACAGTAAAATCGGAAAAAAGACGAACAAGCCAAGTGATTTCTGCAACAACTTGTTGCATAGATCTATACTCTGCTTCGGCAGATGAAAGGGAAATCAGAGGTTGCTTCTTTGATTTCCAAGAAACAGGTGAGCCGCCTCGAGAGATAAAATACTCACTAATGGAGCGACGGGAGTCTGGAAAAGAATCCCAATCGAAGTCACAAAAAGCAACAATTGAAGGAAGAATCTGCCCGGAAAAACAACCCAAGGCCTGGATTGGTGAGAAGATAACAAATGCATCAAAATGTGGCATGAAAATGGGGTTAATGAGGAGCTTTCAATATACTGGCTCAAATATTGAAGGGCAAAAGACAAATCTGGACGAGTATGGGTTAGAAAATTCAATTTTCCCAACAGACGGTAATAGATAGTGGGATCTGGGAGTAATTCACCAATATCACCACGCAATTTCAATGAAGGTTCGAGCGGAGAAGCAACAACCCTCTTATCAAGGCAGTCAAATTTAGAGAGCACCTCAAGGGTAAATTTTCTTTGTGTAACAATTAGACAATGTGATTCTCTAATGAGTTCCATCTCTTGAAAAAAATGTGCATGCCCTAAGTCTTTAATTTTGAATTCTGAATGGAGAAACTCTTTTAAGCTAGCTATTTCCATTAGATCATCCCATGTTAAGAGTATGTCGTCCACATACACTGCAAGAATACAAAATCCCCTAGTAGTCTTCTTAAAGAACATGGAGTAGTCATTTAGGGAATGTGAAAAATCCTTGAAGCTCGGGGCTGCAGTGAGCTTGGCATACCACTATCGTGAAGCTTGCTTTAGCCCATAAAGAAAATTCTTTAATTTACAAATATGATGTGAAGTAGGATCAAGGCAAAGCCTTCTGTCCCCTAGGTAGTTCTACAACCTCCCAGGTTTGGTTGGCTTCAAAAGCCTCAAACTCTTGTGTCATTGCCTCCTGTCAACAAGGATGTAAAGATGCATGGGAAAAACTAGTTGGTTCTTGAATGTGCAAAACTGAATTGAAAAGAGTTTGATTTGAGTGAGACAGAGCAAAAAATGGTTAAGTAGAATGGGAAGGAGAGGCTGTAAGACAAGTAGTAGTTATATCAGTTAAATAAACAGCATTGCATATATAATCTACAAAATAAGGTAGGGGATTGGTCATTTTGGTTGTTTTTAAGTGCAAGTATAGGACTAGGGGAGATAGAGGAAGAAGGAGGAGGAGAAATATGCTTGGAAGTAGAGCTGATTGACATAGGGGTGGAAGAGGAGGTGTGGGTGAGGAAGAACTGAAGATAGGTGAGGGGCTAGGAGAGGAAAGGGAGTTGGGAGAGTTAGCAGAGGAAATAGAAGAAGAGTGAGGAGCAAAATAGGAATGTGAAGGTGGAGTGTTAGCAGAGGAAAGTGGATCAATAGACAGTATAGGTGAGAAAGAGATGGGGAAGATGTGAGAAGGAGATTTGCGGGGAGGAAAAGGAATAGATATCCTCATAAAACTTGACATCCCTAGAAACAAATATCTTATGGGATGTGAGATCTAGTAATTTATAGCCCTTTTTTATGAAAGGGATAACGAATGAAAATACACTTGGTGGCTCTAGGATCAATCTTAGATCTTAGATGAGTATGGGTGGATGCATAGCAGAGACAACCAAAACATCTTAAAGCTGCATAAGAAGGTATTTTACCAAACAAAACTTCATAAGGACATTTGAAACTCAAAACTCTAGAATGGAATCTATTGAT